AACCTCACTTGAAATTTTTCTTGTTTTGTTTTTTAATTGGATTATAGTCTAGAAGTACGATCAAGGATCAAAGTCAATACTAGAAGTGAAAAAGAAACATTATCATAAATGTGCGCAACGAATCTGACCCTGTTAAAGGTTTTAACAATGGAAATACTAAGGTAGCGTTGAGCAGGTCAGGATCTGTTTACTTCATAAGTCGCACACAAGATCATTGTGAACAAGGGTTGAAGCTGCATGCGTGTGAGAGTCATGTCCAGTAATCATTTTGGAGGGTATTGTAATTCATGTCATGATCCTCCTCCACAATCAAGAAAGGGAAATAAGCCACCAGATCATTCCTAGCTAGCTAGAATCCTTCTACAGTGTCACCTTCAACAAGTCTAATTGTTAATGATGCTTCTGTTTCAAGTGTTGGATTGATGAATAAACTGTTGATTTTAGATGTTTTCCAAAAACATAATATGCTTCCTCGAGCGTTCTGCTGTGTGTATTTCATAGCACGAAAAACTCATTATAATGTGGGAAAATCACAATTAAGGACTTACAACAATCAATAATAACTATTCGAAGCCATAAAATGTTGAATTTGAATTTCAGGACTACTGTCTTTTATTGCAGGTTTTTTTAAATAATATTTTGATCACTAAAATTTCCATATCTGAAATGCACATTTAATCACTTATTTTTAAGGGTATTTTATATTCATAACAATAATTCGTTACATGCAAAAAGAACCACTTTACTTAAATTCAATTTCAAATTAAAATTGTACAGTCCCCAATGATTATTATATTATTGATTTCTGAAGGTCCTTATTTTTGATTTTTCCTTATAATATCCCCACCATATTGTAGAAAGCTAAGGTAGTGGATAATGAAAGGGATTTATAGTGGATTTATTTGTAGAAAGGTAGTGGATAATATTTACTTTTTTCATTAACAAATCATTACAACTGATAATGGTTAAAGTGATGTTTATGAAGGGATATTTGTGCCGACGATGATATGGTTCACACACAATTAATAGTATTAGGTGTCATATTTTTTCTAAGTCATAAATAACCGACGTAATCAATTTTTCATGCAGTAATGCCACTTCCCATTCTTCCCATTGCAAGCCAAGCTCACTGATAATTCTCCTTTCTAAATCCCACTCTATTAGTTGATTCCACCTCCACACGCACATAAACTAGGGTTTATCCATGTCAAAAGAGGATAATATGACATGGCATTATAAGGTATCATATATATATATATATATATAGATCCAATCCATTGCAAATATGTATATAGATTGAATAGTAGACGATGCCACAACCAAGTTCAAGCATTTGGGATCAATTGTATGCAATTGATAGTGAAATTGATAAAGATATTACACATAGAATATGAGTAAGATGTGAAATGGTAGGAAGTATATTAAGAGGTGGTCTCTTAGATCACTTCACACACTTGGCATTTGATCCAATGGAATGATCGAGCACCTTTGTAAGAAGATTGCTGGGAGGGAATCTGAGGAGAAGGAAAGAGGGCCATGGGCATGGCGTCAACAATCAACTGGCAGGGGAAAATTGATTATAGGGTTTGTTCAAATTAAAAGCTAGTACCACAAAAACAAAGACACTTGTCATGTGTTCATTAGTGAACAACGCTTGCAATGTATTTAAAGAATGTAAATGTAGATATATATAAAAGCTTTTTGGTTTCTGTTTTTTAAATAAAAAATAAAAAACTTGTTTAGATAAATGTTTTGGATTTAATTGTTTTACAAACTATTTTTATTTCTTATTTTTAAAAAACAAAAAATGAAAACATCTTAATTTATTTTTATTTTATTTTTCTCATTTTTAAAACACACTGTATTTGATTATTTAAAATTAAAGTTAATTTGATAAATTTCTATCATAAGTTATTGCCATCAATCACTTACAATCGTGACTATCAATTTATTTTTTAATTTTAAAATTTTTTTTAAATTAATATAACTAAACATATTTTTATTTTCCTTTGTTTTGAAAAACTATTTTAAAAATTATATTTTAAAATAGTTTTTAAAAATGAAAAATGAAAATAGAAACCAAAAAGGCTAAAAGTTTTTCTTTTTTTTTATTTTTCTAATTCTCCTACTTTACTTTTATTATGAATATGAAACATATTAAGAATGTAACAAAAGATCATTGTTTTGTAAACTCGAACCGACCTTGACTAGTTGACTCGTAAACTAGTGAATTGGCCACCTAATTAGTCCAATTGATTCAAAAAACTAGTCACATATGACCCGATTTTAACTTGGTCAAATTAGCTTCAACCTAGATAAACTCCACCAACTCGATAGGTTAATTGGTTTACCTGAGTCAAATTTTATTATTTTTATTTTTCTTTATTTTTTCTTTTTTCTTCTAAATATTGAACCCTAAATCAAATATAAATTTGTTAACCAATAATTTTCATGCTATTGTATTTTATTATGGTTAGAAACTTATAAGTATTATTTATATAAGACATGTAGAGGGTTTTATGGATAAATTTTTCATTTACTTAAGAATTAAATACTTTTATTGAAATATTATAAATATTTTTATATATTTAATTAAATTATATTATTTTAACGGTGACGAATTTGATTCCGGGTTGACTGTTGGACCACTAACCTTTAAATTAATACGATTTAATGACTGATATGGTTTTTAGTACTTTGCAAGAGATAGGTTTGGGATCAAAGAGATAAATAAGAGGAGAGAGAATTTAGCTAGGGGAGAGAAATAAGGATGATTCTTATTAATTTCATGGTGTTAATGGCGCAAAATGTACGTTATTGTACATAGTAGAACATCCAAAGGTTGTAATGAAATATATTAAAAAAAATCATTCATTCAAGAGTATTGATTATAATGACATTAAACATGAGAAAAAGGTATAATGTATAATGTTGCCCCTCCATTAAACCTCTATTATTTTAATCGTTAGTTGAAAGGGAAAACTAAAATTTTCTGAAAGTTACAAAATGTGCATAAGAAAATTATAAATAAATCATCTTTCATGGGAAAATTAATGCCAATTAAGTTTATATAATTTAAAAATAAATGTTAAGATAATATTACTTCTTACTCATATAAAATATCAAAATATTATATTTACCAATTCTCAAGTGACAGACTATTAGGTGACCAACCACCTTACAGGCAACAATGTCAATAAGTAATAAAAGATTATTATTTTTTAAATAATATCTTATTACAATATTAATACTTTAATTTTTTTGTTGAAATCATATTATTCAAAAGAAGATTTGTAAAACATGGAGAGAATTCGAATTTGAGAGAGAGAAAATCTAAGCTAAGAAGGAAGTGAGCAAATTTTTTTCCCCTCAAAATCTTTCAAAAAGTAGATGAAATTAAAATTTTATGACAACAAAATATATGCATATTAACCTATGCAATATCAAAATTAAAAAGCACAGTCCTACCAATAAAAATTAATTTTGTAACGATCACATATTTTTAAATTTTTAACTTTAAATCATTATAAAATTTAAAACAAATTATAAAATACATTTAACAAAAAAATAGCAATAACAGATTAAATGATGACACTTCAATGTTCCTAGTGTTTTACTGTGCAATAAATAATAATAAGAGAATGACAAGTAAGGATCATATAAGAAAATTAATATTGACTTAAAAATTTTAATATTAAAATATGGGAGAAGAAGTATTAAATTTAAGAATGTTAGTGTTAAAAAATTTTAATTTAATATTAATATTTTTATAAAGTTTTTACTTGTCATTCTCCCAACAGTAACAAACATTATATTTTTTTTTATTATGAAAAGAGATATAACGTAGAGACCAAGGGAGCTGGTGTCGAACTGGTCTGGACCATTTCACTTTATAAGTGGCACAGATGATCACTGTGAGCAAGAGTTAGACCTGCATGTGGGGGAATCTTGCTCGGCAATCATTTCGGAGGAAATTATGATAAATGTCACCATTAATCATCCTCGACACTTGCGGGAGTGAAATGTATCTCTAGATTATTCTAGATATGCTCCTTCTGTAGAGCCACCTTCACCAAGTATAATTAACGATGGTGTTTTTTGTCCAAACAAATGGAAAAAAAAAAATGGTGCTTTTGCTTCAAGCTAAGTGGTGGATTGATTACATATTAACATTAACAATAACAATTAACAATTAACAATTTTGCTTAAAGGGTGTGAATTAATTAAAATTTGCTTATACTCTCTCTTGTTTCAATTATAGCACGCTCTGTAAAATGATTGTTTGTCCTTTAATCATATAAGACACTTGATAAAAAATTAATTATATAATTTTAATATTATCCATATTTAAGATCACTAAATATAAGAGAGAATGTGATGGAAACTTTAAACAATTTCATTTAAACAAGAATAAAATTAAAAATTTATTCTATATTTAAAAAAAGTTAATAAATAATTTAACTATCTTTTTCTTGATTCTGGTGAAGTAGTTGTTTTGACTTAATAATAAGAATTAGAAGGATTATTTGAAAATGAAGGAAAAATATACACTTTAATAATGTACTTGCTCTCACCGATATTTAATAAAATAAAAGAAAAAATGTGTGACAAAAAGTTGCTTATAAATAAAATTTTAAAAATTTTTAACATATTTTCTTCAATTTTTATTATAAGACAAATCTAATTATCTTACTGAAATCCAGAAAAAATAATTCAGTTATTAAATTTATTTTAAAATAGAATAAAATTTTTAAATTTTACTCATATTTAAATAAAAAATTTCAAACATATTACATTTTCTCTTATAATTAATAAATTTAAATAAAAATAAAATATTAAAAAATATAATTAATATCTCATTAATTATCTTATATTAATGAATATTAATAATTAATAAATTAATAAGTTATTCTAAAAAACGTGTTATATAATAATATATAACCGGGAGTATATTAACAAAATAAGTTGACCGTGGGGACGGATTTACCGATTTTTTCGAGAACGAGAATGCTTCGATGCTAATTTGCCGACTTTCTCACGCTGTTCACATTTTTTTAATAAATCTAATCACCAATTGAAAAATCCTGGAAAAAGAACTGAGCTGGAACATGCCTTGCAATTGGCGACATCCCGATACACAAATTGCTCATCTCAGTGTAATGTATTTAACCCTAATTACATCATCTTATTGCCAAAGCCTCTAATGATTTTTTCTTTCCTTCTTTGATGATTCATGGAAGTTGCTTCACTCTCGCTCCTGTCGCCAACCTATCGTTCCGGTAAGCAGCTTCTTCACTCTATTTCTTCCTAACGCTTCCTTCACTTCCAGTTTCTCTTTGTTTAATTGCTTCTTTGTTCTGTTTCCTCGTTACTTCTAGGTCGCCGGGAAGTGAGATACTTGCCGAAGTTTTCTACTACTCTGGTAATTGTGATCTTCATATTTTCTTTCATGTGTGCTTATTAATTTCTGATGGAAGTTGAATTCGCGTATTGCCGTGATTAAGTGAGATTATGAGCTGTTTCCTTTCTGATTTTACATTTACTTCCTTTTGATATCATTTGGCTGATTGAAGGCTTTGTTTAAAATCATGAAGGAATTACTGATTCCAACAAGTGTTTATGGTGGAGATCATATTTTACGCATTACGTTTTTCTTCCTGGGTAAAAATAGTAATTGGTTCTTTCTTCAGAAGTATGTCTTTGCTTGAGTCTCGCTGCTCATTTCTTTCTGGTCTTCTCCGTCGTTGTGTTCTTCATGTTGTAATTTAATATCCCTGAAAAATTTCCACATTTTGATGTACAATGACACCATTTTTCCTTCTTCATGTTGTAACTTTTGCGATGTCCCTGAAAAATTTCCACTTTTTGATGTAGAATGATACGATTTTCCTTTGGAAGCCACTATTATTATTGTGACTTTTGACTTATGACCATTTTGTGTGAATACGACTCATTGCAGTTTTGCACTCATAAAGGTTTACTCATCAGACATGAAAGTTTGACGAGTGCACTTAATTGTAAGTATTCCTTTCATAGTAAAATGCAATGACATTGCATAAGTTTTGGCTCCATGTAAATTATCCTTGTGATGTCTGTTAGGTAATATTCTCATGTGATGAAAAATATTCATTTCAGTTTTCATATATCTTCCCTCTCCTAAACTTTTAATGAGTTATCTTAGTTGGTTGGGTAAACTGATATCCTAATTTAATAGGAAAACATTTGTTTCAATTTTCATTTATATTCTTTTTCTAACAGTGCAGCCTGCTTTTAAAGAACTATTGTCGACACTGTTGACCATCCTTGCTTGTTAACTATAGTTTTGCAATTTGTGAATTTTGACTCAAATTTGTGTTTCTAATGATAAATTGTGTCATTCTATACTATTTGAATTTTGAACAAGTTTCTTTCTAAGTCAGCCTGTAATCCCTCATTTAATGATTATCTATATATTGATGCATGCTTAATAATCTCTTTGACCATAAGAATTCTCACAAATTTTGTGATTGGCCCTTTAAATTGTTAAAGTCTGATGAAGCTGATGTTACTCAGAGGTTTTTAACTTAGATATCTGAAATTTCTAAATAAATTACTTATATGATTGGTCCTTTAAATTGTGTCTCACTAAAAGATATGATGGCCTTGACTCATTGCGCTTGTGTTTTTTTATTTTGCTTGTATAGCTGCTCAAAGTGGTGTACCAGGCATTCCAAGGAAGTATGGCAGTGTGTCATGGCAATGTTATGATCCAAAGGTAGAGGTTTGTGGACTTCATCACAGATGCAAATTCCATAGTCAGAATAAATTTGCTAGAGATGTAGTTGTAAGGTCTGAACTTACCGCAGTGGGGTCTTCAGAAGATGACTATTCACTATCCAGTAAGCTTAATAATTCAATTAGGTCAAATATCCTATTATATATTCTTTAAAAATAATGCTAATTGATTGTACTTTCAACTTCAAATTGCAGAATTAAAAGTGCAATCAAAGATCAGGGGAGCATGTTTTTATGCTGTTACTGCTTTCAGTGCCATATTTCTTTTTGTACTGATGCTTGTTGGGCATCCATTTGTTATCCTATTTGATCGTCATCGAAGAAAATACCATCATTTTATTGCCAAAATATGGTCTACACTTACCGTGACCCCATTTTATAAAGTCAATTTTGAGGGATTGCAGAATCTACCATCTCAAGATGCTCCTGCTGTGTATGTGTCCAATCACCAGAGCTTCTTAGACATATATACCCTTCTTACTCTAGGGAGAAGCTTCAAATTCATCAGCAAGACTAGTATATTTCTCTATCCCATTATTGGGTGGGCAATGTTTCTTTTGGGAATGATTCCTTTAAAACGCATGGACAGGCAAAGCCAACTGGTATCCCCCTACTATTCTTTATGCAGATAAATTTACTTTTTTTTTTCTTTTTACCTTCAATCAGATAAATTTAATTAGTTCTGCTATATGAGATGCCAATGTGTTCTCTGAAATTTTATTCTCTATGCTCTATACAAGCACAAATTTCCTAGTCACATCACGGTTTTTTGCTGCTTTTTTCCTTCATATAGGACTGTCTTAAACGATGCATGGATCTTATCAAGAAAGGGGCCTCTGTTTTTTTCTTTCCTGAAGGAACACGCAGCAAAGATGGAAAACTTGGCCCCTTCAAGGTGAGTTTATGCCAAGATTCCTGTGACTCTTTCATCTGATTAGATGATAATTTTTGTAAGTAGTTAGTGATGGGAAGTCATGATGTCAGTTGGTATATATGGACAATTGAAAAAATTATTTGTCTGCTTATATAAGAAATTGAGAATGGTTTGATTGGGATAGGGATCCTCATTTTAGTTCTTGGATTTGAAGGGACTGTAACCAAAACAGTGCGCCTTATCCTATCTTGGACACGTGAGCATAAATACAGATGATTGAAGGGTTATTGGTTCAGTACTCTATAAATTTCTGTTAATGTTTAACATAACATGGTTCGTCCACTTAGGGCTTGATTTAGAGGATGGATTGGATTGGGATGGACCAAGTGTTCTGACCTCTGTTGGATGAACTGAAAGTAACATGATGGGGTGAGGCAGGATGGGTCGGGTTAATCACAATTTTTCTCTTTATCTTTTAATCACTGAAGTTTTCTTTTCATCTATTTTCATTTTCAGTTGTTTAGGAGGAACATTGGGAAATTCATTGTTGAAATCCACCCCACCCTGTTAATGGCATTTAAACTTTTAAGTTTCCAGATAAAAGTGGGATGACTCACTTCATGGGAATGGATCTGGTCCATATCTTTTTGGAGCATTTATTTTTGTACATATCTTATTTTATTACTACCTCTAGGCCTATTTATATGAAACAAGTGATAGTTTTATTTTAACTATCACTCGTTTCTCATAAGTAGACCCGGAGGTAATATTACACTATACCCATATTTCCCCATCAGCTACATCTTATCGTTATTAATGAAAAAAGAGATGCACAAGGAAATGCATCAAAAAGATGCGTACTAAATCCATTCCACTCACCTACCCTCCTCCACACTGCTACACCCCTCCTCTCACCTTATTAACGATCATCCCATTTCACTCTCTCTAAAGCTGCCAGTCAAGCCTTTAAGCTGTGTACATTGGAATGAAGCTTCCAGCTGCCACGCTTGATAATTGAAATGTCAAAATTTACGGCTTTCAAACATACAGGAAGATTGTGGTATCTTGTATAACGTTTCAATCTACCCACATCACTGTTTTCTGCTTCTTGGTTTATTACATTAAATTGGTCATCCCTAGGGACATGGGAGCAAAGAATATGTTAACTGAAATTTATGCCAGAGTTAAACTTAACCACTGTGTTATCTTCCCTTGATGATTTGCAGAAGGGTGCCTTCAGTGTTGCTGCAAAAACCAATGTGCCAGTTGTACCAATTACCGTTATTGGAACTGGCCAGATCATGCCTGCAGGAAGCGAAGATATAGTCAACTCAGGTTCTGTGAAAGTTGTCGTACACAGACCTATTCATGGAAGCGATCCTATGATGCTATGTGAAGAAGCTAGGAACACTATCGCAAGTGCCCTCGATTTTCACGACTGAGAAATACATGTATGGAGATTTTCGGCTCTTTTATTTTTATTTTGAGAGAAGCAACCGTAAGATGAAGACAATGTCTTATGAAATATCAATTTTTTGTTTAAAAAAAATAATTAGTTGTTATAATAAAAGAGATGAGATAAAATAATAAAATAAAATCTAAATCGTTCGTATCAAATCAGAACGACTTATCTCTACTCTAAGGTTGTTGTGCTGTTTTCCTGGAGCATGCTGCCACTGTCAGTCGGATTTGTTGAACGTGAGCCTTATACGTTGAAGTTATGAGGAAGGTAAAAGGACTAAAAGCCTTATGTTTTCTTTTCTTTAATAAGGGATAATTATCTTGTAGTAAGGCTAAATTATTATTGTCAATTTTTTTGTTAATCCCTCTGTTGCAGGTCATTGCTTACTAAGATGCCCCAGTTTGAGTTATGCAGTACCAGAGGGTGTCTATCTGAGCTTGCACCTGTTCTAGCACTCAGGTCATTTGAGATATTTCAGATTAATTCTTCCTTGTTAGATTATAATCAATGTTTTTTTTTTTTTATTTAATGCAGAGGCTGAAACAAACTGGTTTCAGTAGAACACTAGAGCTATTGTACAAATCTTTTTGTTCTAACACTTAACCCTTCCATGCATCTCCTGTGTAAATCATTCATTATCCTCATGTTTGGATTTGGAAGGAGCTGAAAATACGGGGGAGATAAATAAGGGAAAGATAAAACCAAAGACTTCAGGTGATAAGAGAAAATGAAGGGAAAAAGTGAAATATATATATAAACAACAACAACAACAACAAGCCTTTATCCCACTAGGTGGGGTCGGCTACATGGATTGCAAGACGCCATTGTGCTCTATCATTTATTAAGCTTTTAGAAATATTATTAATTAAGAGATCACGTTCAACAACTTCCAAGAGTGTTCTCTTAGGCCTTCCTCTACCTCTCTTAATCGGACTCAAAGTTATATGTTCCACTCTTCTCACTGGTGCCTCCCTTGGTCTTCTTTGTACATGCCCAAACCATCTCAACCGATTTTCTACCATTTTTTCCTCAATAGGTGCCACCCTCACTTTTTCGCGTATGTGCTCATTTCGAATTTTATCTTTACGTGTATGTCCGCACATCCATCGTAACATTCTCATCTCTGCTACTCCAACTTTATGCTCTTGCTGTCCCGTTAGAGCCCAGCATTCACTACTATATAACATTGCCGGTCTGATAGCAGTACGAAATATATATATATATATATATATTAAAGAGGCATGTGGTTCATATTTCTGTTTTACTTAATTTTCTTTTCAGCTATGGAGAGGTTTTATAGAGAAAATTTCAAAAATTGTTTCAAAGTAGAGAAAAATAGATATGTGGCACACGTCGTTTTCATATAGAAGTCAATATTAGTGTGGGCTAGTTAAATTTCTATTGTGTTTTTTTTAATCCAAATATAAGAATAGAAAATAGGTTTTTTATTTACATCCCCCGCCCCCTTCATTTTTTTCTTATTTTCTTTCATTTCATTTTCCCTCCTCATCCAAGGTATCGGAGTGTCTGATTTCCGTTGCCACATGCCTTTTTCGTGGTTACTGTTAAATATAAATTTTATTTGTCAATGCCAAAACATCTTCAGAAAGGAAGGTGAAGCTAAGGGATTCATTTTGACGAAATCCTTTAATTGTTGTCTCTCTCTCCTTTATATAAATATATATATTTGTATGTATGTATGTATGTATAAAACCTTTGCCTAAGAAATTATTTAAGATCCTTGCCTTTATTTAGATATTATGTTTTGTGTAATTTTGAACACATTGTCACTAACTTAGTCAGTAGTCTTGTAAAATATTTGTTCTGTTGTAGATAATAGAGACTAGGAAAAGGAGAGAAATTTATAAGGAAAGAATACTGGAACGAGAAAAAGAAATTAAAGTTTTCTTATATTTTGATGTGTAGAATATAACTCATCTGTGTGTGCCCTCTATTTATAGATACATGTGAATAATTCAAATTTAATAAAAGAATATATAAGTTAATGATAACTGAGGTATTTTGAGATAATGGTGTTTTTAATACAATTTTTTTTTTTTTTTTTTGGGCGGTGGGTGAGGGAATGGATTATCTTCTAATGCTTCTCTCTTTAATTTCTGTTATCTTTTCAGAAAGTATTAATGTTAGCGAAAGGAGGGAGAGAAATTGTAAAGAAATAAATGCAAAAAAAGTTGAACATTTGTTTTGCTATAGTTTCACTGTCACGTGGCAATTGGCAAATTAATTGACATTTTTCTTTGAACTATTTTTTGTATAATTTTTTTTAAACAATTAATCGACCATTTTAACCTACAAATGTAGGAATTTGATCATGTGAAATTTAGGAGAAAAATTTGATACAATTACTATATAAATTAATTATTGATATAGTATTACATGTAATATTAATTTTGACCAAGTAAAGACCCAAAAAAAAAAATCAATAAACCTGGATAAACTCATAAATTTTGCAATTTAAGTTCAACTTAAAATTATACAACTTTCTCAAAAATCTATACAGCAAAGACTTCACAAATTGTGCTATTCAAGTTTATAGGACATGCACACACACAGACTCATAAACAGCTAGCAATGACACAAAAAAGAACAAACTAGTATCAATTTGGAAGAACTAGCTCTCTCCACTGCCAAAGTATCAAATTACACAATGGTCAATAATATTTCCCTATCGTTTTCATTGCTGTTTGAAGACCTATACAATTTTATAATTTAAAGTTGATGGTGGTCTAAGCTTGAATTTTGATATGAATTGTAATATAATCTAGGTTTTGATTATTGGATTATATTGTTGAGGTTATGTAGTGTATTTGAGTGTGATGGATAGAGATGCTGATTAATCTTGAAATTTGAAGTGTCAGTGTGGCTGGAATTTTTGCCTATTGCCTCCTTTTATGCTAATCAATCTTGTATTAAGGATTCTTGCATTATGATTAGCTAGTAAATTGTGCTTAATTTCTTTATTTGGGTGTTTTAATTGCTTCATTAGTTATTTTAAAGTGATTTTGGCATTATTATCCAGGATTTAATTAGTCTAATTTATTAATGAGTTATTGGGTTTAATTATCCTTAACAAATGTGTGGATTGACTTAACTAATTAGAGGTCTCTATTTAGTTTAATGTTATGGGAAAACATCAATCGTTCGATAAAATTTATATCAATAAAAAATTACTTGTTATCAAAATTTAAATGAATATTTATCGATTTGGTTTAATCTTTTATCAATGAGTATTCATTTAAATTTTAACAACTTATTGTAAATTAATAACAATTCATTTAGCTTTTTTCATTCAAATTTTGATCAATAATTAGTCCTTGATTGATATAATTTTTTTCTAACGATTTTTTATCGCTATTTTCCCTAATTTCATATGCTAATACTTAGGGGTATTCTTAGATCTTTAATTAACTCCATTAATTTCAAAAACTCAAGTCAAATTCCAAACTTAAATCAACTTTAATTGAGCTAAGATGGCCTAAATTTTCAAGTGAATTAGTCTATTTGATCCTATTTATAAATTACTTCTTAAATTTCATTAACTTTATTTTAAAATTTAATAAATTTCTATCTCTATCATCCAATAAGAAACAAAAAAAATTATTTTATTAGCACTTAATAAAAGTAGGAAAAAAAAGATGAACATAAAAAATAATGAAATGCCTTATAAATAAAAGCAAAATTAATCTTCTCTCTTTGTCATATAGATAGGATTAGAGTAGTACTTGATTGTCACCTATTTAATGATTATTTTTTGTTAATTGTCTTGAGTTATTGATTGGGGTAGCTACTTTAATTTACTTTGTTTTCATAAATAGTTCTACTTTAATTTTGCATTTTAATTTCCAAACCCCCCATCATAGAATTTAGTATCATTCATTCTTGGTTTGGATGGAATGAAAGTGAGAAGAAAATAGGGAAGAGAGAAGAAAACTAGGAGAAATTTTCCAAGAAAATAGTAATTTTTTATTACTATTTTTAAAAGTTTTCTCTTAGTTTTCTTTCCTCCCTATTTTTCTTCCAATCTAAATGAAAGGGTAGAGTCTCATCTTGCATTAGGTATTAAGGAGTCAATATCATAAGTAATTTCATTGTAATTAGATTTTAAAAAAAAAATACCATAGTTAATCCTTGAACTCTTAACGTGTTTCGGTATTAATCTTTATACCTTTTTGTTATTTTCATTTGTCTACAATTTTTGTCCACACCATATTTTTAAATATGACCATAAAGACTTAACGATGGCTAACATGTAATAAGTCATGTTATTTCTTGTGCTTACTTTTTAGAATTATGATGTGTAATATGAAAATTGAGAAGACCAAAAAAAAAAATCAAGCAGGACATGTTGTCAAAATCAGTAAAAGTGCACGGAATGAAGCTTCAAAAAGGAAAAAAAAAAAAACACTTAACTAGGATAGATAAACAGAAAGATTAGCAGGGCAGATAAATAGAAAAGCCACCCAATCAAGGCAAATAAACAAAAAGCTTACTAGCTATTTTGCCCATACAAAATTAAATAAAGTTATATAAATATCAACAAATTTAACTTCACTTATCAATGTACAATTAATATTGCAAACATATGAAACTTAAGAAATTTAAATCAACAAAAAAAAAAAAGAAGAAGAAGTAAGGGCTAATACCAAAACTTGTTAAAAGTATAAGCACCAACATTTATATATATTTTCCTTAGATTTTATTTAGGGGTCCTAGTTGAGTCAGTTAGGATTCACTTTAAACTTTAATCATTGTCAAAATAATCATACTTGTTGGGACGGTCTCATAAATCGTATTTATATTACAAAATCATTAAAACCTTGCATTTCTTGATAGACTTTCAACAAGACTTATCAACTCCTACAACATTTATTCTGAAGTGTAGGCACCAACATTTTAAATGATTAAAATTATAAAAATTGAATGTATTAAGTCAAAGTTCAAGGAACTTTGGTCAAATTAAATTTATATGGATTGAGCTGCATTAGGTTTAAAGTTGAAAAATTAAATTTTAGTAGAGTAAAAATAATAGGGACTATAGTATCTATTATATAAAATAAAATTAGAGACATTATAATTACATGTAGTAGTGATTAAATGCAAGATTAGGTATACTTAGCTTTATGTGCCCTTTTTTGTAATAGTAACTAAGGGCAAGACTAGGTACTTAGCTTTATATATTTAGTGTATCTTCATCTAATTAAATCAAAATAAATAGATTTTAATATGTCAATAATATTTCTCATAAAAATTTATTACAGAATAAATTGTCTATAAATGATATATATGTATGTATGTCTGTCTGTCTTGATTTAATTAAAAATAAATACTTCAAGTATATAAAATTAAATATATTATAAGTTTTACAAACTAATTGTCTCTAGCAAGTGAAGCTTGCTTTTTGGTCCTAGTTTGGTCATCCCCTTAAAAATGTTAATTCAAAAGGATAAGATAAAAACCTCCGTAACTACTAAATCAAAATCAAACACGTGCAAAAGGTGTCATCTATGAGCATGCAAAAAAGGGTGCATTCAAAAATTATTATTTCAAACCACTCAAGCATGCAATCAAGTTAAAGGATTGAGGGTCCTTTTGTTTAACCTTTTTTAATCACTTATTTTTTAAA